GATAAATCCCCACCTCGCCATGTCTCCCGGGCGACGAAATCCAGCTACGTGACCGGCGGGGAAGCCGTCTCCCCGCCGAGCGCGCAGCTGCCAGGCGGCGTGTGGAGGCGGGCGACGCGGTGCCCGTCGCCTGCAGGGGCGGTGCGGCCAGGGCCCTTTGCTGCTTTCTCGGCGCGACTCGCGGCTGCGCACCGTTCGAGGCGCCGCTGGCGCGGGGCGCCTTCGGGCTGCCAGGACAGCGGTTGCCCGCTGGCGCCACCGTTGAGCTGGCGGGGATGTGCGCCCCGATGCCAGTCGAGGCGGTGAGGGCCATGGCCTCGGCAGTCGCAGCGCAGGCGTCTAGGTGTTGTCGAGGGCAGTGCTCTGCCTGTGCTTCCTGGTGGCACTGGTGGCGACGTCCAGACGGAGATATTCATTGTCATCGCCACCACCATCATCATTATCATCAGGCAAAGCGAGCAAACCTTCTGGCGATTTCGTTGAGAAATCACCAGGCGGGGATCATCATCATCAGCAGTGCCCCTAAAATGGTGCCAAGTTCCAGAGCTTGGTAATGGATGATCTGGCCCTGCTGGCACTTGCCAGCAATGAGTTCAGTGTGTTGCTCTCCGCCGCATCGATCTAGCCCAGGTCAACTGAGAGTGCCGACTCATCCACCCAAACATATGAGAACTGCCTGACATTCAGGATGCTACGTTTAGTCTCGGATCTCTGCGCGGTGGAGGGGCCACTCATCGTTCGTGTGCATCAGACTGTGCGGGGAAAGCGCCCAATGCCTGGACCATTATGTTCAGATGCGCTCTTCCGTCTTGCCGACGCCACGCTCGGAGAGTCCAGGCAGGATCTGCTTCAAGCCGTGGCAGTCCTGTGCCGGGACGTGTTCGCGTTACAAAGTAGCTGAGGTATTAAATCATTTTTTTGAGAGAGTTATCAGCCAGTCAAGTCGGGACCAGCTCTCAGCGACCATACATGCTCTCCCGCCCTGATGGCGAATTGCCTTCGTGCACCTTGCGTGCGGAGGCACTCGAGAAAGAGCACCAGGCATCGTGGTCACGATATGGATGAGGCTGCTGGTCGAAGAGGCGAACGAGGATGAGCAGGAGGGGGAGAAGGAGGAGGAGGATGAGGAGGGAGGATGACGACGAGTATCATGATATGGAGGAGGAGGAGGAGGAGGAGGAGGAGGAGGAGGAGGAGGAGGAGGAGGAGGTGACCTTTCCCACCGTGCGCCTCCCGTTTTCGTATCCGCGCCCCCGCGCCCTCCGTCGCGCTCCCCCCGCAGCCCCTCCCTCCCCGCCCCTTTGCTCCCACGCCGCTCCTTCGCTTGCCCCGCCGTCGGCCTCGCGTGTCCCCCCCTCTCCCCTCCTCTGTTGCCCTCTCCGCTCCCCGCCGCTCGCCTTCTCCCCCCCCCCCTTCCCCCCTTCGGCGACGCTGCCCTCTTCTTCGTATGCTGATCTCTCCTTCTCGTTCCTCCTCCGCTCTCGCCAGGGCGCCCAAGAGGAGCCCCTTTCTCGTCCGCATGCGCTTCTACCCCCCCCCACCCGCGTCATGTGCTGCTTCCGCTCTCACTCTCTTGCCGTGCGTGAGGCCACGCCTTGCGCAAACTTTGGAAGCGCTGCCACAGAAACTGATGCCTCACCCGTTTTGTCTCTTCAGTGCTCTGATTCCTCGCTCTCGTTTTTTTTTTTTTGTTTTTTTTTTTTTTTTTTTTTTTTTTTTTTTTTTTTTTTTTTTTTTTTTTTTTTTTTTTTTTTTTTTTTTTTTTTTTTTTTGTTTTCTCTCTCTCTCTCTCTCTCTCTCTCTCTCTCTCTCTCTCTCTCTCTCTCTCCTCCCCCCCGCCCCCCCGTCTCTCCCCCTCTCTCTCTCTCTTTCTCTCGCTCTCCCCCCCCTCAGTCTCTCTCTCTCTCCCTCTCCCTCTTCCCCCCCCGGTCTCTCTCTCTCTCTCTCTTTCTTCCCCCTCGTTTTTTCTTTCTTTTTTTTTTTTCTCTCTCTCTCTCTCTCTCTCTTTTTCTCCCCCCGCCCCGTCTCTCTCTCTCTCTCTCTTTTCCCCCCTCCCGTTTTTTTTTTTTTTTTTTTTTGTTGTTTTTTGTTTCCTTCTCTCTCTCTCTTCCCCCCCGCCCCGTCTCTCTCTCTCTCTCTTTTTTTTTTTTTTTTTTTTTTTTTTTTGTTTTTTTTTTTTAAATTTTTTTTTTCTTTGTTTTTTTTTTGTTTTTGTTTTTTTGTTTTCTCTCTCTCTCTCTCTCGCTCATTCTCTGTCTCTCTCTCTCTCTCTCTCCCCCCCGCCCCGTCTCTCCCCCTCTCTCTCTCTCTTTCTCTCGCTCTCCCCCCCCTCAGTCTCTCTCTCTCTCCCTCTCCCTCTCTCCCCCCGGTCTCTCTCTCTCTCTCTCTTTCTCTCCCCCTCGTTTTTTTCTTTCTTTCTTTTTTTTTTTTTCTCTCTCTCTCTCTCTCTTTTTCTCCCCCCGCCCGTCTCTCTCTCTCTCTCTTTTTCCCCCCTCCCGTTTTTTTTTTTTTTGTTTGTTTTTTTGTTTCCTTCTCTCTCTCTCTCTTCCCCCCCCCGCCCCGTCTCTCTCTCTCTCTCTCCCTCCTCGTTTTTTTTTTTTTTTTTTTTTTTTTGTTTGCTTTGTTTATCTCTCTCTCTCTTTCTCTCTCGCTCTCCCTTTCTCTCTCGCTCTCCCTTTCTCTTTCTCTTCCACAGGAATTTCCCCCGTGCCTCTACGTAACACTCAATGCACACACGCCCTCTTTATCTCTCTTTCCGTGTGTGTGTGTGTGGTGTGTGTGTGTGAGTGTGTGCGTGTTTGTGTGTTTGGGTGCATTTACACGCATATCTATACATTTAGGTGTGAATGTGTGTATCGACTCCCCGCTCCTGTCGTCTGTCTTACTTTGCTTTCATCCTGCCTTCTTCTCCGTGGTATGTCATTCCATTTTCGCAGGTGACTGGATTTTTGTTTTGTGGTGAAGTCCCCGAGCCTCTTGCGAAAAAACGCGTGGGCGAGACCCTGATAAAGCTCACCTGCAGTCCCTGAGGAGTTTGCCAGCTCAGGGCCACAATTTCCACCTTACGTTCTCGTCTGCTTGGCGCGGGGCCGTATTGCATAGTTCGGGCGAGCTTCATCGGCATCGGATCGCGAGATCTTCACGCAAGCGCCTGTTGAAGCGCAGCGGGTCGGGGGCGCCATCTCAGCGCCTGGCGCACATCCTTTTGGCGTCCACGCGTCCCGCGAGTGCGTAGCCACGCGCCCCCCCCACCGAGCCCTTTCGAGATGCAAGGTTCAGGCCCCTGAGCCGGCCCTCCCACCTGCTGCTTGAGCTGTGCCGCAGCAGGAGGAGTAGCAGAAGGAGGATGAGGATGATGAGGAGGAGGGATGCTGCTGATGATGATGATGATGATGATGGTAATGATGATAATGACGACGAGGATGATGATGATGCTGCTGCTGCTGATGATGCTCATGAGGAGCATGAAGATGATGATGGACATGATGATGTTGATGATGATGCTGATGATGATAATGATTACGACGAGGACGATGATGCTGATGCTGATGATGATGATGGACATGATGATGATGATGACAACGAGGGGAAGCCGGGATGGGGAGGGTGTGAGGGCGGGGGGCGATGATGATGATGATGATGGTGATGATGATGATGATGATGATGATGATGACATTGACGACGACGGCGACGATGATGATACTGATGATGAGGATGATGGTGATGACGATGATGATGACGATGAATGATCAATGATGATGATGCTGATGCTAATGCTGATGATGATGATGCTGCTGCTGATGATGATGAACCTGATGATGAGGATGATGATGCTGATGATGCTGATGCTGATGATGATGACGCTGCTGATGGTGATGATGATGCTGATGATGATGCTGATGACGATGATGAGGATGATGATGATAATGCTGATATTGATGATGGTGATGCTGATGATGATGCTGATGATGATGATGATGATGATTATGATGATGCTGATGATGATGATGCTGATGCTGATACTGCTGCTGATGCTGCTGCTGATGATGATGCTGATGCTGATGCTGCTGCAGATGATGATGATGCTGCTGATGATGATGATGATGATGATGATGATGATGATGATGATGATGGTGACGATGATGCTGATGATGCTGCTGATGCTGATGATGCTGATGATGATGATTACGATGCTGATGCTGATGATGCTGCTGATGCTGATGTTGACGATGATGATGATGATGATGATGATGATGATGATGATGCTGATGATGATGATGATGATGATGATGATGATGAGAATGATGAGGCTGACGATGTTGATAATGATGCTGTTTATAATGATGCTTATTATGATGATGCGGATGCTGATGTTGATTCTGCTGCTGATAATGATGACGCTGCTGCTGATGCTGACGATGATGATGCTGCTGATGATGCTGATGATGCTGATGATGATGATGCTGATGGTGGTGATGATGCTGATTTTGATGATGATGAGGTTGCTGCTGCTGATGCTGCTGATAATACTGATGATGCTGATGATGATGATGCTGATAATGCTGATGATGCTGACGATGATGCTGATGATGCTGATGATGATGATGCTGATGATGATGATGATGATGATGATGATGATGCTGATGATGATGATGATGATGATGATGATGATGATGATGATGATGATGATGATGATGATGATGATAACGGTAATGATAATGATGATGATGACGATGCTGATGATGATGCGTACGATGCTGATGACGAGGAGGATGATGAGGAAGTGCAGCAACAGCAGCAGCAAACGGCAGCAGCAGCAGCAGCAGCAGGAGGAGGAGGAGGAGGAGGAGGAGGAGGAGGAGGAGGAGGAGGGAGGGGGAGGAGGAGGAGGAAAGAGGAGGAGGAGGAGGAGGAGGAGAGGAGGAGGGGAGGAGGAGGAGGAGGAGGAGGAGGAGGAGGAGGAGGAGGGAGGAGGAGGAGGAGGGATATCGGCGGGCCAGGGTGCTGAAGTGGCGGGCGCGCTCAACAACGCCGTGAACGCCATTCTGCAGCAGCCAACGAGGGGGAGGGGAGGGGGGTCCCTCCTGGCCGTCCGTCGGCGTATTGAGGCCCCGCTTGTGTGTTCCTGGTGGTGGTCCAGGGGGAGTTAGAGAGCAAGCTGAGGAGGAGGAGGATGGAGGAGGAGGAATAGGAGGAGGAGGAGGAGGAGAAGGAGGAGGAGGAAAAGGAAGAGGAGGAGAAGGAGGAGGAGGAGGAGGACGAGGACGAAGACGAGGAGGGAGTTGATGCCTATCCAGCACGATGTCGAGCAGGCCCCTTGGATCGCGGATTGTCCTGGCCATGCCTCAACACGCCACAGGTACCCCGCCAAGAGGGCTTTCAGCGGCAAAAGTCATTGATGTTCCCGAGGTCTTTTCAGGATTCTGGCTTTCCCGCTTCTTCGACCATCCAACGCCCCACAACAGCTTAACAGGCCTCCAAGGCGGCCCAGGAGTGCTCCAAGACGGCTCCCCTCCTTGGAAAGCAGCAGCCCTCCCGCCAGGCCTGCCGACAGGCGGACAGGGGCGCTGTCACAACAGGCTCTCCCGCGGCAGGCCCCTGCTGCGAGAGGGTGGCCGGCAGGCAGGCAGGGAGTGCCGCAGTCCGCGACAGGGAGTTGGGGGCCCATCGAGGGAGAGGTGACTCCCAGGGGTCCCCGAGGAATGCTTCTACTTCTGATGCTAGTGCTGCTGCTACTACCACTGCTATTACTACTACGGGTACGACTACCGCTGCGTCTGCGACTACGACAACGACTACGATTAAAACTACG